TATGCTTGTCCATTGGTTATCCTCTTCACCTCCTCCAGCAGAAACCCCATTGTAATTAATCAGGGATGGGTCCTTTAGCCTTCATCTCAGGTATCGACGTGAGTCCATGAGAGTCCAATCTTCATCTTTTTCCATCCTCACCCTTGGTCACCGTGCAACACCAGGAAGCCTTGCACTCCGTACGGACCAGACGTCCCCCGAGCCGATCGCCTAGGGATTAATGGTTATGCACAAAAATGTCCTATCTCTTACTGACCCTAGCCTCTGATACCTACAACATCAGACACATACAGCTACAAACAGCAAGCGTAATTAAAGGTACAGTAATATCATAACATGGACACACACGGACACACAAACACATACACATGCACATACACACACACAGAGAGAGATAGAGAGAGAGCAAGAATGTGTGTGTGGAAGAAAAATAAGTGGGATCCACTTTGCCACCAGCATCTCCACCTGTGTCACAGAGAAAAAATTGCAAAGAAATTAAAACATAAAGCAAACAATAATTCAATGAGTATAAATGATTCAACTAAAATATACAACCATGCATGTTTTTTATTTTTTTATTTTTTAAACAGTTCCAGTAGCACTGACGATGCCTTGTGCAATGGATTGTTAAGATGGTCTTCATCAATTAGAGATTATAACCGAATTGTTTCAGGTTCCTGAATTTGAATTTGAATTGGTTAATTTACTCAGAATAGTCCAATGGCTTTGTTGATGTTTCTCAAGGCTCGGCCACGCCCATATAAATAAAGGAACAAACAAACAAAACAAGCACAGTCAAGCACACGGTCCATACACGTCTCTGTACCCTCACACACCAAGCAAATGTCAGACTGAAGCGAAAGTGTGAAATTCCTCAGTTAAGTAGGCATGCATGTTAGCAGTTTCATCCAGAGCTTCCTTCCACTTCTTAAACATCTGGATTATTTCTGGAAAAATTTCAGTTTAGCCAATTTCGGCTGTAGCCAAATCCAAATGTTCTCGCAACGCCATTCCCGCAAAAGGCCAATTAAAAATGTTATGTTAAAGATTACACAAGATGAGAAAATGTGAACATAATTATTATCGAATGAGAGGTACAATTATTCACTATTTTGTAACATTATTTTCTACGTTAGAACTTACAGCTGATAGAAAAATATAGGATCAGGTTTCTAATCCTATTTTTTAAGGATAACTTCCTCAGTTAACTATGTTCTGCAGTAGTTTAGTAAATTTTTCCCAATTCTGACATTTCACCAAGCCAGCTGATTGTTGCCCAATAAGCTTTTTCCATTACCTAACTGCAGCAAGCACTCCTTCACTGGGTGTAACCATAGGAGACGGTCTCTTTTGAGCCTCTCTTTGTAAGTCCAGGATGACCACCGTTATTGATTAAAGTTCACATGTTAGCACACATGCTCCTCCCCTTTGTCCTTTATTTCATATGCAGCAGGGCAAGCAAGCGTCCGCCTCATTGTGTCCATTTTACGGCGCCTCCCCCATCTCGACGCAGACACACAGCTTGTGGTGGGGACTTCCTGCTCCATTTGTGTAGAGCCAGATCCGGGAAACTGTCATTTGCAGTCGGTTTCCGTCTCTGTGACAGGCCAACCCAGTAAAGTTCATGCCGCCACAGTTCACAGCAAACGTCTTCCTTAAATATGTTGATTGGGTTGAAATGACAGAACTTTCTCTTTTAAAAATCAACGATGGCTTCTAATGATTAGTCGACTTTACTGACTCAAAGGTAAATCTAGACTACTTCCTGGGCACAATTGTTCCTTAATCATCAAATCAGTTCTACACAGGTTTTAATCATTAGGTGCAATCTAACCCAAAATGCAAGATCCCTCTTTTCATTTTTTATTTTTATCCATCTTATTTTGGGAGAATAACTACCAGTTTTTTAATCCGAAGCAGCCTGGTACAGTTTCTAGCCAGGTTACAGGAAATAATAGTTAGTTTATCAGTTTTTTTTTCCATTATTCAGCGTCTCAAAATCCAGCCACTAATGTTAATGGTTCTTAAAGTTGAGGCAAGACAATTATTGGGTTTTGTTTTACAGCAAGATTTACAGCAATAGTTTTACAAAACCTATACTAAATATTTATAAATGGGTGTAACTGAACGTTCTGGAGCAAATACTTTATTTCCTGACTGATTGTTAATTTTAAGATTGGATCCTATGATTCTAAGAGGTATGAGAGCTGCAGAATGCAGCACCCTGTGCTATTTATAGACTACGGGATTCTTGTGTGTAAATGTGGGTGGAGTCAGGCCCTCAGGCAGAACTTTCAGTCTCATTCTTCCCTGACCGTTTAGGAGAAAATATCTCACGGAGGCCACCCATGGACTAAGAATTAAGACTGGACTAAGAAGGTACGCCCAAAACACCAAAAATATCTTTTCTAAAGTCACAAATTGCTTAAAACTGCATGTTACAGAAAGCAAGCAAGCCTTGTTTCCACCATGTGTGTGTGTGAGCAGACAGTAGAAAAAGAGGAAGAGAGAGACTCCAGTTACAACACGGCCCAAAAGCTGATAAAATACTTCCTTTGTATAAACACGACCATGCAACTTTTATATTTTAAACGATTTCCTTGTCATCGCACTAACTACCAGTTCTTTTTCTATTGTTTTTCAGTCGGGCAAAGCTGGACTACGCCCTGTTTTATCCAGCAGCTCTCTCTATTAAACACTGCGTCATTCAACAGAGGATCCAGCCAGAAGCAGCATTCACTTCTCATGCAAGAAACACTCACATCCAGTCACACAACGGCACAGACAACATTTTTCCTCTTTGTCACAGTCTTTTAAACAAAAGTAAGTCAGTCCGTCACTTATTTATTCCCTGTATATATATATGTACATACACACACACACATACATACATATATATATATATATATATATATATATATATATATATATATATATATATATATATATATATATATATATATACACATATACACACACATACACATACAAACATTTGTTTTACCTTATCTTTTCTTAATCTCTTTGTTCCAGTTGGACTATTATTATTGTGTTTCTCCTAATTTAAATTTAACTGACCCAAATTGGCACTTACTTTTCCTACTTTACACCAAATTGACAGGACTTCCTTTAACGGCTGGTAATTTTCAGAACTTAATGCCTGCTTTTAAGCAAGTCTTATTCAACCATTAGAGCAAGTCAAATTGCAATTTTTGAGAGCGCTCTGAGAAACAGTCCACATATTTATTTTCTACAGATCTGTTTCAATCTTACTGTTTAGCAGCTGCCTGACCTTCAATAAATGTATATCTAAATATTCTAAAATAAAGCTGTCATTTACAACTTTCCTTGTGTTCCTTGATTTTTTTCCCTTTTAATCTCCAGGCCACTACATATATATATATATATATATATATATATATATATATATATATATATATATGTTACTTTAAAACCTTTTATTTATTAACTTATGGTACTCTGTTCAGACTGATCAGAACAGGATTGCAGAATTTGAATTTTGCGTAACTTCAAACATTAAATTTAGCACTGCAGTGAACTTTACATATGCGAGTTGCAACTTTTAGAGCTCTTATTTATCTTATTTATTTTCCTGGTACCGCATCAGGCCCTCACACTGTGGTTCTTTCTATTCAACCCCCACCTCCCCCCGATTCCGAGAAATGATGGGGCGCTACTTCCACCTCCTAATATGGTCAAAAGTAGTTGAGACTTACATAAGCTGGAGAGATCAACATGTTTTGGATCACGTAATCAGCAGCTGGGCTGCCTGATAAGCAAGGAGTTGCACCGCACGTGTGCGGCTGGAATTGATAAGCAACATGTCAACATGCACGTACCACCCACACACGGAGCTCCCAAACCTCGGCTCTGCTTTTTGCACTCTCCAAGTGCTCAAACTGAGAGCCATACGCAGCCTCTCGCTGCAAACTCAAGACGTCTTCTCACAGGCCTCACTACTGCTTTGCAAACACTCTTAAATTTGTTACTCCTCGTGGACGAACCGAACTCAGCAAAGACTTCAACTTCTTATACAGGCCTCTTTTTCTCTTTTTACTTTGCCACAAACTCTTATTAAATTTACCAAACCCCAGGGGAAAGACCGAATTACAGGCAAAGCTCATCTCTCACAACTTCAGCGCTTTTTCTTCAGGATCCCCATCTCTGCTCTTACCGAGTCAGGAGACTGGATTTCTCAAAACCTTGTCAGCTTTTCAGATTCTATTCCAATCTGCTGTCCCACATTTCAATTTGACACTTAAAATTTGTCCGTCATCAAAATGACACAGCTGACTTCACACGGTGTGAATATTTTACCACTGTCAGACATGAATCCTCTCTCCAACTGATATTTATAGTATTATCAGAACAGGAGAACACCCCTGCCCAGTGACAGAGGCCACAAAAATGAACAAAAACATGCTCACCTGGGCCCTTAGTTCGGACCTCAGCCACTGGACAGGAGCCAAGGGACGCCACGGAAAGTCCTCGCTGTTCACCCATCTGAGGTGCCAAAATGTGGGCAATTTCTGTTATTCTTAAAGAAAAGAGTCGGAGAGAGTTTTTTCAGTCGAGACAGCGTGGTCTTTTATTTGTCTTCTCACATCTCAGGACAGCCGAAAGACCCCGACAAAAGAGTGGTTCCCCTTTTTATAGCTCACAGCCTTTGAACATTCATTAGTCAACCGGCGAGAACCAGACCATATTTGGTAAACTGTGGGTGGAGACTTCTGTCTGGGACACAGCAACACATCAAGTATTTTTAGCAAGTCAGATAAGCTTTAAGCAATTTTACTGGAAGCAAGCAGAGACCAAAACAGGAAATTCCTTCGGAGCTGATGTTGGAACAGCACACGAACTCTAGCCAGAAAACACTTTCAACCTAAGAACTCAGCTTTAACTCAATACATTTTGTAGATGACCTCTTGACCTTTTTTGGCGCCAACAACAGTATACTTATATATTATATATAAGTATATATATATATATATTTGGAACTTTTTATTTTTGAATTAGAACAACAACATTTACATGGAGATGCATTTGAGTTTCTTCTTCCCTTCTCCAGGGCAGTGTTTCCCTGAACAAAGTTCGAATTTCCTTGTGTTCATAAGATCTATCCAACTTAACCAAATCACCAATCAGTACATATAGTTCTGACAAGCTTTCTCTGTATTCATCTTATCTGCTCTCTACTACATTCTACATTTTACTTTGATCTAGCTAAATAACTCACCCAAAAGACAAAAATACATTAAAAAAATAAATAAAAATTAATAATAATAATTTTCACATGAGAGTACTATCTTTCTAACATTTGTTTTATTGGTTCCCAAATTTTTTCAAATGTCCCTAGTCCCAGTCATAGTCTTGCATTAATTTGTTCCATTTTGTAGACCTGTCTAACTCTGTCTCTCCACTGTGCCACCCTTGGGGGTTCTGTGTCCAGCCATAAAACTGTAATACACTTCTTGGCAGTCATAAGCAGAATTCTGATTACGTATGTCTCCATTATGTGTGTATGATTTTTGGTACAGCATTTCCAGTACAAACCATTTTAACTTAAATTGTAATTTCACCTTCAAGGTTCTTTCAATTTCTCCCTAACACCTTCCCAGAATGGTATGAATTTAGGGCAGTCCAAAAGTATATGTGAAAAGTCTCCCACTAGCCCGCATTTTCTCCAACATAAATTTGAAACATTACTATTTAGATATGATAAGTGGAGTTTTAAAGCATGCATCTTCACCTTCCATTCAAATTCCCTCCAAGATGGACTATTAGTTAGGTTATGGCCTGCTTCAAGTGTTTCCTCCCATTCCTCATCTGTTATCATTATGTTCACTTCCAGTTCCCATTTTTCTTTAATATCTATATTCTTAACAATCAAATCCTGTTGTAAAGCTTTATATATTTTGAAATCAGTCCTTTTTGACATGTCCTTTCTGTTTAACATAATCACTTCCTCCATATTAAGTTTATCCTTGCTTGAAACTTTGCCTTATTTTGAAATAACTACTCTGTCTGTCTGTCCTAAATAACATATTAAGCATGAAATTACGAATTATTGTGAAATTACACTAACAGGAAGTGCTTTTATTTTGTAGCATTTGCTCAGTCAGCTCTCGAAGCTTCTCAGCAGACGGAGAAGAGCAAGGGTTGGAGGTCACCTCCAGGAGGTGCATTAACCGTTGACGGTCGCGCTTTAGTTCTGCATCTGCACTTGACAGTCACTGGTTCTGCACCACTGAGCTAAATGTAAGTAGCCACCATAAAAGTTGCTTAAATGTTTTAAATGTTTTTAAGACGGACATGGTGAGTAATGTTGGCCACGTAGCAAGCTAATATGCTAAGTCATTGCATGAGTTAGCTGTGTTATTAACGTTGTGTGCGACTAAAGTCTGTTTATTAAATGAAATGAGCAGCGCTATCTCATTATTAAAGGTTAGCATTACTTTAGATACTTTTTTATTAGACTTCTAGAGACTTATTCCCTCCATTTGTGTCCCCTCCATCGTAATTTTTTAAACGTGACGTTCTGAGAAAAAAATAAAAGCGGGAGCTCAGCGCCACCAAGTCAAACTTAAACGTCCACTTATTAAAAGTAAATGAGCAGTGGTCTCTTGTACAGCGATGAAAAAATCAGTCTGTGTTGTAAACTATTTCCCCGGAGCACCAGTGCAATAGGTTTGCAAGCAGCCTGCTTTTTTTAACCGTAGAAGAGGATTGTGACCGCAAGAGATGAAGCGATGCTATGTTCCCTCCTTCCCTCCATTTTTGTCCCCTCCATAGTTTTTTTTAAATAGTGCTCGGTTGCACATATCTTGAACCGCAGAACGCTGTTTCTATTAATTTCACAGTATTTTAGTGTTGTAATTTTGTCCTTACTGTACACTGTTACTCCAGATTCTTAAATGTTATGTTTTTAGCTTTGTGTGGATAAGTCAAATTACACTTGAATCTCCTCACACACACACACAAACACACACACACACACACACACACACACACACACACACACACACACATAATTTAGATGATTAATGATTTAGCTTCATATATAGTGGAGGACTGCCTAAATTTTGCAGACTAACACAGATCTACCTTGTGATTCACAATGTTTTCTCTACTGATTATGCTTCCTGGTGTAGATGTGTAAATGTAGAGCATCTGCGTTCCTATGAGCTGTCAGCCACACCGGGAAGCCTGTCTATGAATCTAAAGTCAGACTTCAATGATCCAACCCCACTCTCTGCACACAAGATTGATGGCATGCTGCTGTTGACCCCCAAGAGGTTCATACAAGTGAGACCACTGGTGAGTAATTCTCACAATCTGCATTTTTGATGGCACATCCTAAATAACATGACTATATATGTATGTATGTATGTATATATGTATACAGATTTGTCTTTTAAAACTGGTGAATATACAATTTACAGGTAATGCCTTTATGCTATGAGTATTAGAGCCACTGATGGAAAAAAAATATAGAATTCTGAGAAAATAAGTCATAAATCTGAGTTTAATCTCAGAGTTCTGACTGGTACCTAAAACAAAAAAAAAGGGAAATTGGGGAAGATTATGAGGGGGGATCAGAATTCTGACTTAAATCTTAAAATTCAGGCTTTTTTGTTTGTTTGTTTGTTTGTTTTGATTTTTTTTAACAAAAAAAATTCCTAAATAGTTTTTTGTTTGTTTGGTTTTAGGTTCATGAAAAAAGTCAGAATTCTGACTTAAATCCCAGAATTTTGAAATTATCTGATTTTTTTTTCTCAATTCTTTTCTTTTTCTTCAGTGACTCTAATACGCTTAGGCAATAAGGCAGTATTAGGGCCACTGAAGGAAACAATTGAATACTGAGATAAATGTCAGAATTCTGACTTTATTTGATTTATTTTCAGAATTTTTTCTTCTTCAGTGGCCCTAATACCCCTCCGTATTATGTAATGTTAAACACCTCAAATTAACTTTTGAATTCACCAGTTTATCATTGGATTTAGATGCAGATATCACTGTCTTGGAAAATTGGTCAGAGCAATTTGGCATTAAGTTTGATTAGTAAACTTGACAGTATTTACACTCTTAATAATCTTCTTAGGAATTACATGATGTCCACACAAGGCGTACCACTGTTCTCCATGCCCTTCCTGTCTATCTACGTGAGGAAACCTCTGGGTTTTTGAGGACATGTGTGGTAAGTCCCAGTATTGTAAATTTGAACAAATCATTCTATTTATTTATGCATAAGACAACACAAGGACAACGCACATGAACATTTTGGAAAATGTGCCATTGTTTCAACTACAAACTTTTGGCAAGATGTTTAAGCCTGCCACACAGGAGAGCAATCAGCTGAGCAAACGGCCTCAAATGACTGTTTGCTCAGCAGATTGCTCGCCATGTGCGCCTGATTTTCACTGAGTTTTCCACCTCATGAGACGCTGAGGTGAATATCTGACCAGTTAGATATTTTGCGCCTCACAGGGGTAAAAACTCGCTGTGTGTGCACTACTGAGCTGCTGGCTGAGCTGAAATATTCTAGTGGCCAATCAAAGCACTTTCTCCGCTCACATGACCCCAAGATGTATTCAGATGCAGCCCCTTGCCTTGTCTGCGTGTCTGAAAAATAAACAAAATGGTACCTTGCGAATCGATGGGCCCACTGTTTCCATTAACCTTTCGGAAGGATTCTGGGTCTTCCAGGTGCATCTCTTGGAGTAAATTGGCATAAACTCCTTGCCTGGTCCATCTTTCCAGCTACTGTACCCATGTTTTCCTAAACTTGAAATGCCGGTGGCGGCGACGTTTCATCAACAAAAAAGGATAGGCATTTCCTCCGTTTCCAGCTCTGTCTCTGTGTTGTTTCTTTTCTGACATGCAGACAGGGGGCTGCCATCTTGGGGTCATGTGAGCGGAGAACGTGCTTTGGTTGGCCACTAGAATATTTCAGCTCAACCAGCAGCTCGGTAATGCGCACACGGCGAGTTTTTACCCCTGTGAGGCGGAAAATATCTTAACTGGTCAGATATTCACCTCAGCGTCTCGTGAGGCGGAAAACTCTTGTGAAAATCAGGCGCACATGGCGAGGTATCTGCTGAGCAAGCGGTCATTCGAGGCCGTTTACTCAGCAGATGACCCTCATGTGTGGCAGGCTTTAAGGCACTGAGAAAAATCAACAATCACTGCAAAGAATTCAAGTAGCTTTCATTAGCATAACGCTGGCACACACTGAAGCCATCTCACTTTATTCATAAATGAGAGCACAAAGCAACAGAATGAACAGGAGTAGGGCTGGGTGATATGGCCTAAAATCAATATCACCATATATTGAAGATCTCACCTCGATAACGATAAGTAGACGATAACTACAGGAATGCGCAGCAACAATATTTGTCCACTAGATGGGGCTGTCTCATGTATTACATTGACTAAAAGTTTACATGACTCAAGGTGCTACAGCTTCTTAAAGGGACATAAATGTGGCCAACTTACACATCTTTTCATTTTTTTATTATCAAATTTATTGACATGGGAAAAATGATCTGGATGAGAGACAAGAACTTGGATAACGATAAATCTTTGACATGTTGCCCAGCCCTAAACAGGAGTCTACCAGACTGCATTTATTGTTATTTACATGACAATCTACTGAAATAAAAATGGCCACAGTCAGAGTTTCAGTTCAAATGTGATTAGTGTATGATCTCCCTTTCATTTTTGTAAGGATGATACCAATGAGCCGGACCTCAGGGATGCAGCAGTTGTCCTCCTGACAACCATCACCGATGATGCCGAGAGTCCAGTTACGTACGACCCAGTGAGAATCTCTGTTATCCCAGAGGGTGATGTGATTGTCAACCTCTCCAGCCTTCCTGATGCCTTCCTGGTAATGTTCGGCCTCATCTATGCCTTACATCTAGATTATCCGAAGGGACTGACCAACACATTTGAGTTCACGCAGAAAATCTTACTTGGTCTTGATGAGTCTAAACTGTCACCCAAGCTGCAGAGTCAAAAATGACCTGATGTTACATGTGTAACTCAAAATCTGAAAGAGTGGTGGATTCAGATGGCTCACTCTGTTAGAGCATTGTCCACATCCACAATGTAATTTACTATTTGTCTGCTCTTTAATTGTTGATGTTAAAGTAACACACCACCATTTGGGCAAATATGTTCATTTTCCACTTCTCCTTGAGTTAACCCTCCCACTGTCCTAATGGGTAGGACCCCGCGAGGAAAGTTGACCATTGAGCAGGGTTGATGGTTCATCCCTTGGGTCCATGTGACAGGGGTGAGGAGTGAGCACCACCTCACCCCTGCCACATGGACCTCAAGAGATACTCAATGGTCAACTTTCCTCGCGGGGTCACCCATAAAGACAGTGGGAGGAACAGTTGAGTTTTACCTTTTCTCTGTTCGTCCAGCCGTTCTGAGTCTGGCAACTCCATTCGTGGCTTTAGTTTAGCATGAATAATTGAATCGGATTAGCCCATTAGCATCTAATGCTAATAGGCTAATCCGATTCAATACTCAACTGGTTTTATGCCAAATGGCAAAAAGTACTCACTGACTTACTTGATAGTGGTTAATGTAATTCATATTTTGTTAATGTTGAATTGATGTGCATCCTGATGTTGCTTTAAACCACCTACTCAAAGAAAGACTACACACTGCTGTTGTCCAGTTTTGAAAAGTGTGCGTTTGTAATTGTTTCTTTCAAATTTTGTTTTATTTTCTGTTTGAGTTGGCTTAATCGGTAACTTTAATTTGATCATAATTTGAAAATATATTTAACATAAACTCCAAATATTTAAGTTTATTTATGTTCTGATATACTCAAATATCTGAGTTTATAAACTCAGAAAATATGAGGCAACTGACTGCCTTACATTTTTTGAGTTCTGCCTACTTATTCGGGTTTACAGTGTACGAACTGTAAAGATTTTGTGGTGTCAGAGTTCACCTAACAGTTCAAGTGTTCATTTTTTTGCTTTGTGTGTTCACAGGGCATGCTCAGTTGAAGTTTCCATCTCTGCGCGTTCAAGATGTAAGAAAAATAACACGAAAGAAATGCAACAATGAAAACTTCAAAAAGGCATCAACAACCAAGCAAGTGGATCCATAAAATGGACTGATTTTTGTAAAGGCATTTTTAAAAAGTCTTTCAAAATGGACAGAACTAACGCGTCATGTTCAGAACAGTTTGTGTTCTCATCTTTGATTAATCCTGGTAAACAGGTCTGTTTTTGTTCTGTTCTAATTCTCTCTGTTTAATAAATTTAAACAAAATGACTTAGCTATTTTATTTAATTTTTTTTTTCTCTGCATAAAGACGAAGTATCAGTAAATAGTGGAAAGTAAATGTATTGGTAGTAAGCATATAGCAGATGTTAAATGTTACTTGCAGTATGTGTTTATAGAAAAAATAGAGATACTTAAATGTACTAAAAGAATATTACGTCAAGTTTACTGTAAAGTGTACTTTCAAAACTGTAAGTATACTCAATTATATAAGAAGTACACTACAAGTAAACATATATTATTACTTTAAGTATAATTTTAAGTATACATTCAAAGAGAAAAGTATACTCTATTATTTCAGAAGTACACTACAAGTAAACTTATAATGTTAATTAAAGTTTATTTTTAAGTATACTTTCAAAGGCAAAAGTTTACTCAATTTTATTAGAAGTAAACTTATACTGTTACTTTTAAGTATACTTTCAATGAGAAAAGTATACTCAACTATATCAGGAGTACACTACAAGTAAACTTATATTGTTACTTTTAAGTATACTTCCAAGGAGAAAAGTATACTCAATTATATCAGATGTACACTACAAGTAAACTTATAAGTATACTTTCAAGGAGAAAAGTATACTCAATTATATCTGAAGTACTCTATAAGTAAACTTATATTGTTACTTAAAGTATATTTTAAGTATACATTCAAGAAGAAAAGTATACTCAATTGTATGAAAAGTAAACTTATATTGTTACTTTAAGTATACTTTCAAGGACAAAAGTATACTTAATTATATCAGAAGTACACTCCAAGTACACTTGTGATGTTACTTTAAGTATACTTTCAAAGAGAAAATTATACTCAATTATATCTGAAGTACACTACAAATAAACTTAAATTATTACTTTGAAGTATACTTGTAGTATACTTCAAGTATACTTTTAGCAGCCCAATTTAGTCCCAAGGAGTATACTTCTAAGTAAACTTCAAGAACAAGTATGCAAATAAACTTCTGTATACTTAAGTATACTTGAAATTAGATACTTAAAGTATACTTCTTTTTCGTAAGGGCAAGCACACTGCTTTACCTTTTATTTCTGTGAAGCAATACTTGGCGGTCCACGTCTTGTTAAAAACACGACATTCGTTATCAACTTTCCTTTTCTTAGAGTGTGCTGGCATCTTGAGGGTAAAGTCAATTTCTTCTTCTCCGTCAGTGTTGTTATGAAGGCACGCAGCGTCGGCGCAAGGGCTCTCTCTGACACGCTTGCGGAGTCTGACGGAGACATGCCCCCTCCCCCTAAATGTCCGTCGAGAATGTGGGAGAGCGCATGCCTGTAATTGATCGGCACACTGTTTCCTTTCACATACGCCACATTTGTTGCTATTCACCGACCCCTTCACTCAATGCTCACACGCGGGCCAGAAGGAGATGCACCAAGGGCATCACTTGGTGCAGTTCCACTAAAAGAGTATTTACCTGCAAAACAGCCTGTTAGCTCAGCTTTCTGCTGCTTCCTCTGTAGCAAGTTAGCAGTACACAGGTTAGCTGCAAAGTCTCTGATGTTCCACAGGTTCCTGAAAAATTAGCAAACTTATTAACATAAACTGCAATAATTTATTCCATGAAACCAGTAATGAATATGTTAAGATGAGTTTTTAATACGTCTCTCTGGAACAGTAGACCATTGTCCTGAGGCTAGCACAATGGCTTGCTTAGCAGCTAGCTAGTGAACTAACGTCTGGTTAAAACCAACTTAAAAAGTGGTTTAACTTACAGATTAACTAAGAAAAGATAAAATATATTATCAATACTCACTTTAGATCCTCAGTAGACACCACAGACAGCAGAAATAACGTGTTTGGGGCTCAAAATTCATGTTGTTGACCAGGTGGAAAAAAAAAAAGTCTTGGAGGCTACATCACTTCCAGGTCACTGAACTGTCACTCAAGAGAAACCACTGTCCTATGGGAGAGGACTTCTCAGAAGTCCCGCCCACCCGAAAGGGTTGTGTCAGAATTGCAACCAAAAACTCAGGGATTGCAAAGGAGAAAGCCAGACAGTGTAAGTGCAAATCTGGTAGTGAGAGCAAAGCTCTGAGCAGCGAGAACAAAACTAAGGAAATTGATAACAAAAATACATAGAGGCAAACAGTAAAAGGAAACATACTTTGTTACTCATTTTAAGAAGTTGATTCAGATAGTAAGTTTTACTTTTGAAACACGTTTTTTTCCTTTAGTCAATATTTTTGTTCTGTCAATTTTTTAATGTTTGTTTGACCGTCAAAGTGTTTTTCTTGATCATTTTAAGAATCTGATTCAGATTGTAAGTTTTTCTTTTGAAACCAATGTTTTTTCTCTCAATGTCTTAAAATTTGTTTGCTCCCCAAAGTGTTTTTCTTGATCCTATTGGCACAAATCTAATCCCATATATGTGTTTCAAATAGAATTAGAAAAAAGGGTTGTCTTTGTGCGTCTGAATAGATTTTGCTCGTTTCGGAGGATATTGACTCTGAAGACGGTCTGTGTGTGTGCTGCGTGCAGAGCATGTGCCTGTGAGTTGGCTCTGTGTGTAAGGTGTCTATTTTGACTTCAACTTTACTGAGGTTTTGTTGTGTCTGAATGTGAATGTAAGCATGAATGTCGATATGATGTAATAATGATGATGCCGGTGTCCGATCCCTGCATCGGGACAGGGGTGTAAACCATTGAAAGTCAAATAGGGTCATTTAGAAAAGAGATAGAGGGGAAAAAGAGATTCTCTCCAGGGGCTGTCAGGCTCCATTTAAAGCTGTTATAGCAAATCCACATTTGAACAGCTTCATTTGGCCTGAAATTAATGTCTTGTGCTATTTAAATTTTCTAAAGAAGTACATGCTATGGATAAGCATTAATATGGTAAGGACAGTAAAGAAAATGGCCAGTAACCGTAAAAAATGACTGTGAAATTTACATAAAAATGGTGTCAATACACAACAGAAATGTACTGTAAACTACATAACACACATTTTCTGTTGCAATCACAGTAAATGTTTGGAAAAAATAAATAAATCAAATACATATAAAACAATATATTTATGTATATCTACATTAACATCATGTGGAAAATAACCCATTTATTTATTTAATCAACAAACAGTGGTAATCAATACAGAAAAACACTGTAATACTTATAACTAGGGATGAGCAAGTACACTACTATCTGTATCTGTATCTGTTTAACCAACTAAATTATCTGTATCTGTATCTGTACTCGGAATGGGCGTGGCATAACCCGGAAGTGGGCGTGGTATAACCGGAAGTGGGTGTGGTTTACATCAATATATTATTTTAAGTCTGAAATTGATATGGATTGATCAGAAGTTGCTATGTGTATTATTTATTTGAAAACTATTTACAGAGCAGCCTCAGAATTGAGATTAAATATTTTTGATCACAATAGTAAAGGAACTATTACAGAACAAGTTTTTCAATAAAATCAGAACATTAATATTTAAGTGCAAGGATTAATACCAGGGATGAGCCGGATACTCGTTTCAGACGAGTATCCGGTACGGATAAAGCATTTTTGACGAATACGAGCATGAAACGAGTAAAACGAGTCAATATCTGTAATCGTGCTGAAGGAAAATCCTCATTGGGCAACTGACTGTCTTCACGCTCTGTGATTGGCCAGTCACATAGAGTGCCCGCCCCCTCCCTACACACAAAACTGCAGCCGGCCGGGAGCGCAGTCCGTCCGTCCGGCTCATCCACGCACACACACAGACAGTAACGGATCTCGCTGTGATTGCTTCACTGTTTCTCACGTTTCTTCAGTTTTCTCTAGGTTTTCTTCAGCTCGCCTCTTTTTCAGTTGAATTTTTAAAGTTACTTTTTTCGTAACTGACATGGTGCATTTGACCACAGTGTGTGTGTGTAGATGAGCCGGACGGACTGCGCTCCCAGCCGGCTAGAGAGTTTTGTGTGTAGGGAGGGGCGGGCGCTCTATGTGACTGGCCAATCACAGAGCGTGAAGACAGTGAGTTACCCAATGAGGATTTTCCTTCAGCACGATTACAGATATTTACGCGGTTTACTCGTTTCATGCTCGTATTCGTCAAAAATGCTTTATCCGTACCGGATACTCGTCTGAAACGAGTATCTGGCTCATCCCTACTTATAACAGAACAAATTTTGACAAGATTACATCAAAATATTGTAAAAACTACATTTTATGCCAGTTCTTTTGAGAATACAGAGATCTGTAAGTCACTTTACAGGTTTAAGCTGTACATTTAACACTATTGATTAAATTATGCCAATTTTGATTACAGAAATATTTTCAGTTAAAAAATATTATTTATAATTGCATCATGAAACTGAGAAGTTATGTGCTGCTGGGATCATGAGGGAGTCAAGACAAATATCAAATGGCTACTCAACAAGTGACTAATGGATAGCTCAACTGGTAAAGCACCTGACCCAAGTTTAAATCCAAGCTTGGACAAATCCCAACAACCAATCTTAGTCATTAGTAAGACCCTTGCTGCTACTTACTACCTCACACCATCATACTACTGGCTGCAATATCACCTAACTAAATAAGTTTTGATTCAAGAAAGGGTTTATTTATAAACAACATTGCTATGAAAAATTAAGTATGGCTATAAATCATGACTTAAGGATAGTTTGATAGCTGATTAAAAGACTTATAAATTAATAAATAGATAAATTACATTATTTAAAACAGCGAGGACTATGGTAATACGTTTTAATGGGGTTAAAAATTAATGCAAAGACATTAAAAGTGTTGTAAAAACGGCAGATTCTAATAAAAACCGATGAATAAAGATGCCTGAGAAATTAACTGAAGCTGAGATTGAGCTCAATTGTCAAAGTAGCTGAATTATTGGCAGAAATTTCCACTATTACACAAAGAGCTTAAAATAGATGCAATGTGTCTCCATATCACCATGAGAGTGGAAACGGAGCTGGCCCAAGATACAGTAATGTTTTTTCATGCTGGTCTGGTTCCTCTTTCCACTGAATGGTTTTGCACTGATAAAAAAATCATTTGTGTCATGCGGCGTTGTTTTACCCACCACCAGCATAACAATGTTCCAGGCACAAGCCACTCCTCACATCTCCTTGTCTAAACCTACAGATATCACGTGGCAGGAAGTTGGTGTGCAGACTAAAATAGCCCACCAAGCCACAGACTACACCCAAGTTGATAAAACATGGTTTTATAGTCAAAGCAGCCTTTCAACTTTTGGGACGCTTTGTGCTGCATGACATCGACTGGCCTAGAAAAACACATATTATCTGATAAGGACCTAAAAGATCTAGAAAACATACCTGAAACATTATGGTCAAAGGGTCTCACTGATGTTGGTCTGATAACATCCATACCACCAGAGCAGATAAAACCTAAATCTGACTGGAGGCCATGAGTTTCTCGATATCCTCTAAAACCAGAAGCTGTGAAAGGGATTCGGCCTCTAATAGATAATTTGTAAAAATTTGTTAAAAATATGAAGTAAAATTAAAGTTAAATAGTCAAACATTTATGAAAAGCTGAGTTGAAATGCCCAGAATAATTAAATCAGTATTAATCAGTTAACCTCCAACTGTGTAAGTTCTCCCACTTAAAACATGGAGAGAGAGAAACAAAAAGAAGCTCCGAAGAACAGACGTTAACTCGTTGATAAACAAAGGTGCACAGCTCAGTCCTGAAACACAATCATATGACATCATTACAAGCCCATCCTACCAAAATCACTTTTTAACACTGCTGCAATTTTGACACATGGCCTACTAATGTGTCAACAGGGGGGATGGAAAAGCTAATAAACAAGCATTTTCAAACATACCATTTAACAACCTTCTTACATTTTTTTGTGTGAAATTATCAGTAATTTTGTTTCAGAAAACTTGAGGGAAAACAATTTAGCAATATCAGAGTCACAATCCTCATCAGCCTCCAATTTAGACCAGAATCACTAACATTTCAACTCAAATTCAATGTGCAACGCATTCATCTTAAAGACTATTCCACAAATCCTTCTGGTTGATGGGGCTTGAAGCTTGATCTCCTTCTGAAGTGGAAAACACTGCAGAAACGTAATAGGGAAGAATAGCTTAAACGTTTACATATAAGCAGATATTATCCTATTTAATCCAGAGAACAAAACAGGCTCTTGAGTGTCACAAGACATCAGCCATCATCAAACCACTCCCAAGTACGGTGATTAACTTTTTGTTATTGATCACATATTTATTTATCACCATAATTTGCTATCAGATCCTTAAAGAGTACACAGAGCGACCACTTGGATTATCTATTCCTAACTTTATCATATTTTAAAATGAAAATTACCAGCTTCAAAATTTAGATGGGCTTAACAAATAAGCCTTTCCGTTTTAACCATAAGGTCGAAGGTCCATGGTTTCTATCGTTCAAGATGATTATTTTAGCTCTCATTCATTTTAAGAACTCTATATTTGAACTTGTGTTTAGTTCTTTTGCTATTTTTAATTGTCTTATTTAATGTTGAATCATTTACCTAATTCATCCTTCTTAAAAAATATGCAAAACCATTATTCCTAATCATGGAATCCCAGAAACCACCCACAGTGACAATGGCAGCCATTTTGTAAATGATGTAATAAGTAAAAAGTGTTTAGACTTAGTGAAAATGTGCATGGGAATCACGCCTACTCTGACAGGCCTGACCCCATATGAAATCATTTCAGATTCCCAGTTTTCTCACCAGACTTAGAGAAGAAGAGCAAACATTAGCAGACTACATGAGGAAACTACTAAAAACAAATGAAATGCACCAACAACTTTCACTGCCTGCAGATTCTTTGTCTCCACAGGAACAAGAACCAGTGAAACCTGGGGACTGGGTGTTCATTAAAGTCATCAAAAGAAAAACATGGTCCAGTCCAAAGTGGGAGGGACCATTTAAGTACTCCTGACCACCCCCGCCACAGTGAAGATAGCTGAGAGATCAACATGGATCCACCTCAGTCACAGTAAGCTGCAGAGTGTCCTGGGAAACTAACACATAGGTGAGGGGTGAAGAATCCGGAGGCATCTGTAAAGAATGAGTAGTTTACATCTTACTTTATGAACCATAAAATGTGAGATTCCATAGAAATATGAAATATCAATCTGACGGACCTTTGACTATTTTAACCAGAAGATTGGATCTTTTTATTGCAGGGATTAAGCAACACTTCGTATTAACTCCAAGGAGAGAGAGTCAGGTTTAAAATAGTTAAGAAATTTATTTCTACACAATTTAAACAAGACTAACTTTAACACTCTGTGTACTGATGGACTAAGGTGGAGTGAGACATGATGAATGATGGTGTGTGTGTGGAATGTTATTATCAGAACCAGCAGATCTGGAGAAGCAGTTAGTTGTGAGTGGGAGTGAATGTTTCGCTCTAAACTTTAGTCGGAGATTTATAACACACGAGACACCATCTGTTGGTCTACGTACCCAGGGGAAGCCTCCGTTAGATCCAGAATGTCGAGGTCCTCTTGGACCCTCCTTGGTACCGAAGCCGGTAGAAAAGCAGCGAGGCCGACCAAACTAGTCTTGGAATGCTTCCAGGTCACGACAGGTTATCACTGGCGTCTCCGAGACCCTGAAGGGGTCGTGAGGTTCAGCTTTTATTCTGAAGGAGCCGTTGCTGTCAGGTGTAACTTGCAACAGATTTTATCCAGCTTGTCGAGGTTCTATATGGCTGAAGAGGAAGTCCGGATGGCCGGTCCGAGACTTCTCTAGAACGCTTTGAACTAAAGAAAAGGTGGCGTGGGATAGTTTTTATAATTGTCATATTTTGGTTTACTGGCGAATCAGAATTTGACGTGCAAAAGAGGGTTTATACAAACACCACAGATAACCACGCCTAGCCAGAAACGAAGGTTCTGATTGGATCAGACAAAAGGAAATGTGTCGTGTGACTTTAGCATTATGTGTCATTAGTGTCTAGTGCAAATGTCCAAGATTATAATTACTTGTAAAATACTACTGATCACATGATTATAACATCAAGTAATAACATTGTCATTTCACAGATTGATTGAACATTGGGCTCACATTATTATTGGTAATAACAAAGTTGTTGATTATGTATTTATCGAGAGAGTTCTTCGTCTTTGTCTTGAGCTGTAACAGAGGTGAAGCAGTTCAGATGAGCAGAGTGCATGAAAGACCTTGGCCACAATCTCATGTAGATTAAGCTGTCAGAGACTTTATGTCTCTGCTCGAGCAGACGCAGCAGATCATGACCTTTAGGTCATAAACAGGACATTCATGACGCTACACCTCTCACCTAACTTAAGGTTAGTGTCCCTAGGAGCTCTGTCAGCCTAGCCGCAAGGATGGAGCCATACCAGAAGTGTTGGCTCGCTAGCGGCATGGTGATGCTGGTAGGAATAATGATAATGAAACTTTGTTGCTTGTCTACAAGAAAGAGGTTAATGGTGTTCATAACCTCACATGACCTCTCCTGCAGAACACGATGGGTCCCCCACGAGTTTCCCACCAACTCCTAGTGGAAGTTCATGAACTTCACCACTCACGACAACAATAGGACCAACTGTTATGCCTGCTCACACATGCCTAAGTCCTTTCAGAACTACGGGCTGTGGCCCTACAACCTCACAGGGTTAAAAAGCCATATGGCTGTTTGGACTGTCAATACAGCCAGGGGGACAGACCTGGAGTAGAGCCAATTTCTCCATCCTCCTCAACATCACCTCCCTGGGAAGCCCTCTGAGTGATTCCCCCTGCGAGGGACAGCGGATGGGCCCAACTTCCAAGATCACTCCCAAGCCTGGTAATGACCAGCCACCTCCCAGACAAATTTTTCCCTGTCTGTGGTAGCCAACGGATCTAGATGGGTGGGAAAACTCCCCCTGCACCTCTGCAACCTCCTTTTTCAGGACTGCTCACAAAATGTGACTCTTAGGAACCAAAGCTGCACCTACGAGGCCCACCACCGGCTGGTCCTGAACAAAAGCACCACCAACTGCTCTCAACTAACCCCGCCTCCCCAGGGCACCAGAGTTTTGAGCGACTTCTACTGGCTTTGTGACAACAAAGCCTGGATCTCCCTACCGCACAACTAGTGTCAGAGTCTTTACAGCAATCCTCATTCTAAACAAGCATATAGCGACAGTGGAGAGGAAAACTCCCTTTTAACAGGAAGAAACCTCCAGAGAATCCTGGCTCAGTATAAGCAGCCATCCTCCACGACTCACTGGGGAACGAGAAGACAGAGCAGGCACACACACACACACACACACACACACACACACACACACACACACACACACACACACACACATATACCAAGTAATATTTCTATGGTTACATTATGATTTCTTAGTAAATATTCTATTTGGTGAGAGATAAACTTTATTGTATTTATCCTAGTGGATCTATAATTAAACGGGTAAACTAGTAGTAGCACATTCAACGTCAAAGAGAGTAAAAAGTTATTATCAGGAGAGGGAGAAAGTTTAAATGGTTAGCAGCAGTGTGCTAGATCAGGGATTCCCAAAGTGTGGGGTGCGTGAGCTGCCGCTAGGGGGTGCGCGAGGTGAAAAGTGTAATGGCTGCGGAGCTCAGAGAAGTCTGTCAGATGTCACCATTAGCGTAGAAACTCATTTGTGGGTGGGCCAAAGAAAAAGTAAGTGGACACAATAAATGTAATTGAAAACAAGTATATTTTTGCGTGCGCGTGTGCGTCCTCCACATGTGTTCTAGCTTCATAATAACAATGCGCCGAGCTTCAGCACTCTGGCCTGCGCACGCCGATATGTTCCGTATTTGATCATTTTTAACGGTTTTGGAGAAATCTGAAGGTGGCGAGTCATTCTGGCAGATTGTAATTAACACCTTGTCTCATGCAGGTGTTCTGACATTGTAAACCTCACACACAGAACATTGTGGATGTAAATAAATAACAAGAAATGATTCCCATTCAGGCTATTAACAGCGTGCCGGAGATCTGAAGTTCAGAGTGCGTCTGTCAGAGGTCAGACGCGTGCCAGCGGAACCACGGCTCACGGGTGCACAAGTGAGCACGTCTGGGCTGGGCAGAAGTCATTTTACAACATTGGTTTAAATAGCGCTAATAACGAGATGCGGTGACTGGAGCGGCTCATGGAGCTGTGCCGTGCGCGCGCGCACACACACACACACACACACACACACACACACACACAGATTCAATAAGAGCGCACGCTGCGCAAACTCCGGCGCCCCAGAAATGAGTGCTGCGTCCTCTGTGATAAAAACTTTAAAGAGGTTTTGTAACATTTTTCATTCCAGGTCAAATTAAGATATTAGCTTCTATTTTGGGATGACGTATTAAAGTCGGGTCTGCTCCAGCAGTGACTGACTACAACCCCTGTTGCAGCATTTGTTGTTCCAGTCCGCGTGGCAGCGGATTGCAGATTCAGCCACCATAAAACAGCAATTAGTCGGTCTGAGGCAAAAGTGAACCTCATGGCTTTTCCATCTTTTCCCCTATAGACATTTGATTACGCACAAGTAGGTGACCAGTTCAGGTTTACGCAGAACAGAAGGAAGGAGAGCGCTCTGGCCGCACAGGTTAAACGTTCCTACTTTAAGAAAACCATTAAATTGCATTGTTTATGTTCTACCTGGGCACTCTAAATATTTATTTAAAATTAAATCAAAGGAAATTGTAATGGTATCGAATGTTTATTAATTACTATTTAAAAAATGAAAGCTATGGGGAACAAGGTCGATCATATTTTTTTAACCGTGTCTGTTTAGCTTGACGTCTGATATATATATATATATATATATATATATATATATATATATATATATATATATATATATATATATATATATATATATATACACACACACACCGTAAATCCTCCAATACAGGCCGGTATTCAATTAAAGGCCGGGTCTCCAATTCTGGCCGGTGTCTGAGTCAGTGGAGGTAAATAATGGCCGGTCTCTTATTGTGGCCGGATGGAATGTGGTAACAAGCAAGTACGAGCGTCCCAGCGGCAAGGTTATAGTCCCCAAATCAACCAGCAGGAGGTAGTAGAAGTTCACGCAGACCTTTTTTAGGCCTTTTCTTCAACGCTTTGTAACGCTACAGACACGACCCTCTATCACGCTCCTACCACACAGAGTCACGGTGTCAGTTAACCATGCTAATTCAACCCGCTCCACAGAACACACATCACCTTCCCTGTGGCTTACATAACACTCACACAACACGCAAATCAGCACATAGGAACTAGCAGAACGATAGGAAACACATATAACACAATACCCAGAATGCACCTGGCTTACAACCCCAGCCAGGTCATTACACTATCAAGTTCAAAGAGAACGTGCTGATTATGCTGCAGAACACTCTGGAGAGCAGCAGTAGCCAGTAGGGGGTGTATGAACTACAGCAATCCCTCCGCGGTAGATGCGTTCCAGACCTGGCCGCTATAGGTGAAAATCCGCAAAGTAGGGACTCCCAGCATGCCCCTCGCGGGGATTCCCTTCACGTCGCACCTACGTCACAAACCGCGGCTATAAACGGAAGTCGCCTTTCCAGCTCACCACTCAGTCATCGTTTCTTCAGATTCACGATCAGAGTTTCCAACCTACCGATCAATCCAACGAACTATCAGCTCATAGTAAGTTATCTTACTTACTTCTGGAAAGCCCGGCATTTCCGTGTCACTTCGTTGACGCTCGAACGCTCGGGGGTTTCCTAGAGCACCGACGCTATCACTTCCGCGTCTGTGAAACCACGCTCCCTATTGAATTATCGTATGATCACATTCTCTTTTTGGGGGTAAAACTCAAGTGCCAGACCGTAGGTACTGACACGTGATCGTTCATGTCGGTTCATTTCCTTTAATGTTTTCTGTCTTTTATTTGCGCCAGATGTGTATCGCTGCTGTGGAGCGGGGCGCATCAACTTGTCCTCCGACTCACAGATCACAGCAGGGAGCGCTCAGCTGTTTTCGCGGTCGGTAGATCTGCCTCCTGAGCACGGCCACAGTAACAATCAGGTGTCGCCACCTCAAAAACTAATTTAACACGCGATCGTTCATGTCAGTTCATTTCCTTTAATGTTTTCTGTCTTTTATTTGCACCTGATGTGTTTCGCTGCATGCTGTGGAGCGGGACGCTGCGCGCATCACCTTGTCCTCGGACGCACTGATCACTGATACAGCCGCCAAACAGCAAGCGCTCCGCTGTTTTTGCGGTCAGTAGATCTTTTAGAACTGCAGTTCAAAGGTAACTCATGAGGAGAATATGAACCCAGGTAGCAGTTTTTCTTTAGGATTGAGAGGAGATGCAGGAAGATAATAAACAGACAGGACAGAAAAATAGTCAAATAAAAACAAGTTAGTTTTTGTACCTGCTGTTGCAACAAACAGACACCATTGAAGGTAATCAGAAGTGAGGAACAGAAAATGAAATAATTATTTTAATGTTTAGAGCAGCAGGAACTCCAAGAGGCTGCAGGCGCATCAGTGAGTTTGCGGCCGCTGCGCAGGGGGAGGGGGGAGAGGGCTGAAGCAGGAACTACCGTTGTTAAAAGAAATGTGTTTAACTTTGAAAATGTGGGCGCAATTTTAATTGTCAAAAACTCCAGCGAACCATCAGTTCATTTTGCTCAAATAGAAATAGAGGCCTGCCTCTAATACTGGCCCTCCTTCCAATAAAGGCCTGGAGCTTGATGAGCTTGAGTCAAATACAGGCCCGGGCCTGTATTAGAGGATTTACGGTATATATATACATATATATATATATATATATATATATATATATATATATATATATATATATATATATATATATATATATAGATATATATAGATATATATATATATATATATATATATATATATATATATATATGTATATAGCCATGCCCTGATGTGGGGGCTGGGGGGTGCGTCGACATGGTCGGGACATAGAAGGGGGTGCGCGGCTAAATAAGTTTGGGAACCACTGTGCTAGATGATGGCCCCCTCCATGAGGCCACCACGGCTCAGCAGAACATCATTGTAGCTTCTTCTGGGGAGAAAAACACTTAGAGAGAAAATAAAGTTAACAGCTGAAATAGCAGAAAATAATACAGTTAAAGAGCAGATTGTAGAAGAAAGCAGTAGAGTGTGGAAAGTGGTCAGTGTATCCTCCAGCAGTCTAAGCCTATAGCAGCATAACTACAGAGATAACTCTGGATAACCTAGCCTTTTAGATGGAGGCATGTTGGAGGCAGGGCAAGGGAGAGCCATCTTTACCGACTGTACACTCCACCTCCCTCTACTTGTCCAGATTTAGGCCAGTGGCGGCGCCAGGGGGGCACTATAGCTACCCCTGGATTAGTCATAGCACCCCCAAGTAAATATTAAATTTTTTTTTTACAATTTTAATTTAACGTGTGGATGTGATAATATTTAACATACAAAACAAAAATGATCAGTAAATTATCATATAGATAGTAAAAACTTAAACCAAAACAGGAAATTGATGTTAACCTTTGACCTCATTTTCCACCTAGAGTCAGAGGTAAGATGGATCGGTTTTTGTTGCCCACATTTCCACAGGTTCAGTCAGAAACGAATGAATCTTTGGAAGTGATCTCAGACCCACAAAAACCTACGGATCTGGATGAAGAGAGTCAACCCTAAACTGCCCCAGCAGTCAAGGGTTTTGCCGCTGGAAATGCTAACGCTAACGTTAGCTAAACTTGCAACACTATAGGTGTGTCCGAATTCATGGGAAGGATGCTTGTAAGAGTGCATTTTGAGGTTGATGATGTCACAGCGCAGCGACGAGTACTGTCCAAATTCCAAGAATACTCATTCTCGCGTCCTCAAATGCGTCCTCGCTCCTCCCACATTTCGAGGACGGGTCTGTTGTCTCCTCACAGAACAAGGCTATCCCAGCATGCTTTGCGTGCCGGCTGTGGATTTTCAGCAGGAAGAGAAAATGGGGAGAGCTACGAAGTTTTAAACGTAAGTTTGTTAAAAACTAGCCGTAGAAACCTAAAAAGCTTAAAGCGGTTCAGTTTATGGACATTTTTCATTTGTATATTTGTTTTTTAAATTACATTTTAGGCAGAAATCAGCCAGAACGAGTTTATTTAGCGGGTCCCAGTTATTCCCGTGTGTGTGTGTGTAGCGAATTAAACTTGTCATTTGTTTTAAGGACAACAGAGCAAAGAAGCATTTTTATTAAGCTTAGAGGTGAAGAGTGAAGCTGTTTACACACAACCACAGAAGTTCTGCTGCTCGCCGGGTCGAGTGCTTCAAACAAATACTAACTGATAACTCTTTCTGGTCATTGATTTTATCACCAGTTTTATTATTACAGATGTTTTTGAACATGTGGGCGACGGTGGCACAGGAGTTAAGTGCTCGCCCTGTAATCGGCAGGTTGCAGGTTCGAGCCCTGCTCAGTCTGTCGCTGTCGTTGTGTCCTTGGGAAAGACACTTAACCCACGTTGTCTGCTGGTGGTGGTCGGAGGGACCGGTGGCACTAGTGCTCGGCAGCCTCCCCTCTGTCAGTGCGCCCCAGGGCAGCTGTGGCTACATCGTAGCTCATCACCATCAGTGTGTGAATGTGTGTGACTGGGTGAATGACTGGTTGTGTTGTAAAGCGCCTTGGGGGGTTCCAGGACTCTAGAAGGCACTATATCAAATACAGGCCATTTACCATTTACCATGTTACATGAACAGAAAATGAAAAGATGGAGTAGGAGAAGGAGTAGGGCTGCACGATATTAGGAAAACCTGCGATATTCGATAACGGTGCTTAATATTGCAATATCAATATTACTCACGATAAATGAACAAATACTAAAGTATGCAGTGTTGATGTCGTCTGGCGTGTGACGTCTGCTCTGGGTTCAAAGTAAACAAAAACTAATGCATGAATTCCATTACAACATAACATTTTTATTGCAAAAATATGCAGGTGCACCTGCTACTCTATTAGCAGCTGCACCTGCTACTGTATTAGCAGCTGCACCTGCTACTGTATTAGCAGCTGCACCTGCTACTGTATTAGCAGCAAAACAACAAACTGCATGCATGCAGTTTCTCAGTGACTTTAAAACATCACCTCCACCATAAAACTTTTACTGATGCTCCAAATACAGAAAAACATCCCTTATCAGGGTTTTTAGATAAATAAAAAATATCAGAAAATAAGTTTAAATATTAAATAATAGTTAACATCACTTACATGCAACAGCAAATTCTTTCATTGCTACTGAGCATTTTCTCCACTTATGTGGTTATGATATAAGGCTGTTGCTGTAATTGGGAAGTGAACTGTGCTGGGCCAAACTAGGATAATATTAAGATTTTCTGAGGGAAAGAGAAAAACAATTGTCTACCTTTCAGAAGAGGAACTGGCAAAAAACTACATGGAAAATATATGAAAACGTTTGTTTTTAACACCAAATTGAACAAGTTTACCTAGATCTTAAAAAGCAACTCAGATGATGAAACTGCAACTATGATTCTGATAACAAGCTAACAAATTGAACTAGCTCCTCTAAGATAACCGGCTATCAGAGCTTCTGACTGACAGTTTATGTGCAGCAGCAAATCAACTATCCTGATTAACAAGGTTATAAAAGCTCATAAATGAAAAATCACTTTGATGTGTGGGGGAACTTTTCCAGGCCCTCTTTAGCGGGGTGGGACTGGGAGGAGAGTGCTGTAGCCTTTTAGCTGGAAGCTAACCGGAGCCACCACCCGGTTGAACACTAGCGACATGAAGGTGGGTTGG